TGTTCTTCAGGTTTCCTATATATGGCTTTAGCCTCAAGATGAAGACCTGCTCGCTATGCACCCTCTCCCATCCCCCATTTCCTGCCTGGATTCATTAAATGCTGATTTGAAGTTGGCACACACTCTTCTGATACAAAAGTAGTACTGTGTTCCAGGAACCATCAGAAAGTAGTGCATTATTATCTTTTACATTCCCTTCATATATCTATGTCCTCTCCTTATGCGTAGGAAGGATTTTTATCCCTTCTTCTTAAATATCTCTGTGTGTTTAATAAAAAGAAGCAGTGAAGCAAAGCCCTGTCAAAAAACCTCAGCTCATTTGGGAGCAATCTGGCCCCAGGCTATATTCTTTAGTGCTAGTATCTGCAAATTGCTAATATTAAGCAAAGTGGAGTATAGGACATAATGACTTCACCGAATCATTTTCCTATCTCTCATGCTTGTGTTTAAACATCATGTTACACAAGAGAGAAGAGTTTTCTTTCACCTGAGCAGTTATGGTTGTTGTGATAAAATTAATGTGTGCCTATATAGAAACCTGTATATTTTCTATTTTTAGCAGTAGTTACTTACTTCTTTTCTGCTATATGAAGCCACCATAAAAGATGAGGAAAATCACTGAGATGCTGTCTTTCTTCTTCACGTAGGACCAAAGTTCTCAGTTCTGTAGGCATAATTACAAGTTGTGCCAAGGAGTTAGGTAACCAGTCTTGGGTTGCCTGTGATATCTTCTGTTGTTTAAACTAATACTTTCTGTATCTTTCATACCTGTTTCCCACTTACAGTCATTTAAAGAGTAATACCAGTTCATTATTACCAGCATTAAAAAGAAAATAAACCAGGTAATAGCAATGAGACTGAACAAGTCATATTACTGCAACAGCTCATTATTCCAAATTATGCTGCAGTTACATAAACGAAGTAATTTTCAGGCTAGTCTTTCCTGAAATCCACTTCGAGTGAATCACTCAAATGGGAATCAGCTGATTCCCGTTGAGATCAATGACATGGGCTTTGATGGCCTTCAGAGAAAATAGCTCTTATTGTTTTCTTTGCAACAAAACACTCTCAAATAATATATATTCCCTTTCCTCAAGTGGAGACTGATTATTACTTGTTCCAAAGTGCTAAACGTAGTACAAGTGACAAGATTTATGGAGCAAAGAGGATAGGCGAATAGCGACCAATTAGACCAATATCAGAGGTATACTGGATCTTAGCAGGATTTTAGATGAAGAGCCTAACCTACCAGCCTGTTGCCATGTAAACATGCAGTCCTCTTTTCCTCGTCTGCCACATTCCTGGCCACGTACTCTTGGTTTTCTCTTGTCTCTGGCACTCTGGCTCTTTGGTCAGATGATTCAGCCCACTATAGTTGCAGGCATATAACCCAACAAACGCCACCTCATTCAGCACCTCCTGTGCTTTAGAGAGGCCCTATTTCCTCAGGAAGGTGAGATACAGGACATATCCTGTATGGGACAGAATTAATCTAGTTTTGAGTCCTGGACCCCAGTGGGATGCTTGGTGTACAGAAAGTTAGCCATGTGTATTAATTGTCTTGCTGAGTGAGGGTCTGGGTTTATGGTTGAATCACCGCATAAAGTAACAGACTCCATGAAGGTCTTCTCAATGATTCTGTGGTACTAAAGGAGCGAAAAAAGGTATATTCTTGGGGGTTTGTATCTGCATGAGGAAGCTACTATGCAGCAAGCTGGTGAATAAAGCTTTAATCTCAGAAGTTTTTTGGCACTGGCTCCTCATGTGACACTTTTCCACATGGAAAATGCCTTTGGGTGATGAACATAGTCAACCTTGGCAGTGGATTAGTTAAGCTGAGCAAACGTGCTAACAATGTGCATCAGAAATATTTACAGGGGTGGCTAATACAAAACAGTTATTTTGAGCATTATCCCTCTGTAGACCACTTCTAAGAACCACTAATTAAAGTATTGAACCATATGCTCATTTGAAACATAAGGTAGGTTAATTATAGTTTTTCACCATTTGCCACTAAGACTTTCCAAGTGCCTTGCAAGTACCAGGGGAATAATTTAATTAAAAAAAAAAAGGTTTGAAAAAATTATTTTCACTTTTTGCTCACTTGTTTGCATTTCAGAGTTTAACAGATTAAACTAATTTCTAAATAATCTCACATACGTGCTTTGCGGCAGTCTGTGTGTATATATATATGAATATACATTTATGATTTTAATCCACAGCTCTGTCCTTGAAGTTTAAGATACTTAATTTTCCCTTTTAAACTACCATAAGAGAGCTGGCCATTACAGATGTGTTATTATGGCCTTCATGTAGGAGTGCACTGAAGCACATAGGATTGCTGTTGTGATCCATACCTGTTGCAGTCAACAATAGTTCCGCTTCAGCCTCGGTGAGGCAGGGTGGTCCACTGACCTCTACAGGCACACACCAACTCAGTGCCACAGCCACAAATGAGTATCAAGAAACCACTTACCAGTTCTGCATTTTGTCCATTGGAGCAGACATCCTCAAACCAGTTAAATTTATATATTTAGTGCACTGAAACCTGAATTCTTACTGCTAGCCATCAAGTCCTAGCTGGTACCATGTTAGGAGCTGGCAGGGTCTCATGGGAGATGTTCAAGAAAGCCAGTATTTGAAGCAAACACTCTTCAAACTTTGGCTTTGTTTTTTATTGGGAAGTTTATTTTATAATTTAAAAACCACTCTTCTCCATGCCTTTCTATTTTAAAATTGATTATTTCCATTTAAAAATTATCTTAATCTTTCATGCAAGGACTATCTTCTCAGATGGCTCATAAATTCAGACATTGACATCAAAGTCTGCTTTCTCTGCTTATATGATTGATTCAGATGCAGAATATGATGGCAATGTGGTAGAAAATAGAAAGGCAATCACTGTGGCTGAGCATGAAGCATTCATATAGAAGTGGAACAATTCTTCAGAGAGTGTTGCAGAGGATTTGTATCACATTAGTCTGTCTTGAGTATGGATATATTCTCCTAAATTTTAGGACTACAAATAGTATGAATCAAAATAACCATAAGTGCAAAAGGAGTGAGCACTTTCTCTTCCACATGCCTGGGTGAGATCCGTGGTGAAAGCATGCAGTGTAATCTTAGCCCATTGTTAGAAGCATTGGTCTTAACAATAGTAGTAAGTGCTAAAAAATAAATTTCTTGTTAATATTTTTATTATTAAAGATTTTCAGAGTTGTACTAGCCTATGTATGTGTGGTGTGTTAACCTTAGCTGGATGCCAGGTGCAACAGACCCCTCTGTCACTCCCCCTTCAGCAAAATAAAGGAGGAGAATAAGATGAAAAACTCATGGGTCAAGATAAAAGCAGTTTAATTAAAGCAAAGGCCAACGCCACGCACAGAAACAAAAGGCAAACAAAGATGTTATTCTCTACTTCCCCTCAGTAAGCGATGTCCAGCCACTTCCTGGGAAAGCAGAGCTTCAGTGTGTGCAGCAGCTGCCCCTGGAGACAAACCCAGTACCAATTGCCCCCCTCCTCCTCCTGCCCTTGGCTGTTATGGCTGAGCTGAGGTCACATGGTATGGAACAGCCAATCCGGGTCAGCTGTGCCGGCTCCGCCCCCTCCCAGGATGTGTTACAAACCCCCTGCTGGCTGCCAGGGCAGCACTCAGCACTGGGAGGGCTGCTGACTCCAGCTCAGCCAGACCCAATACAGTATGTTGGTCTGAAATGAACTCAAGGTACAGGCCACTTAGAAGGGAGTGCTTGCCAAGAGGGATGTGACAAAGGCAGGCAAGGGACTGCAGGTTACAGCAGCACTGTGGCAGAGGTGCAGCCCCTTGGCTTTCGCATGAGCATTTCTAACGTCCCCATCCCTGAGGGAACAAGTGGGACAGCAGGAAACAGATGTGTGATATTATATGCTGGGCAGAGACTGGAATTAGAAGCATAGGATTGAGTTCCTGCCCTGCAGTGACACATGTTATAATGCTGAAGTGAATTAAGGTTTCATTTATTTTGTTTTTCTCCTATCTCTTGCTCCTTTTTTTGGGCTGGGCTTATGTCTGTGCATAGGGGGAGAACTGATCCCAGTTTTCAGCTCTTTCTATTTTGAGATATTTCTTAGCCAAGCCTCAGTTCAAGGAAGGGAAATATAAACAAATTCTGTTCCACAATTATCTTTCACTAGCTTTTAGCAGTCTGTTTGGTAGAGGGTTTACTTAGAAGAACAGATAAATGAGTACATGAAACATTTTACCATGCTAAAAATATCAGAAAACAAAAAGCACAGCAGAGCTTCATCTCTGGCCTTCAGATGAAAAGACTGTGTCCATTTAGGAAACAAAGGTGGAACTTGCCCAAGGTGCATTAAATATAATCCTATGGTTTCTGGGAATCAATCCTACTTCTTCATTTTCAGAGCATGTATTTTTCTGTGTAAATGTTCTTAGGACACTGTCATAAATCTATCTGTTTGGTGTGTTACTCAGAAAACATTGAAGTTCTGGGCCTGAAATTGCTGACCAAGAAATGTTCTGCCAGCAAGGCTTGTCGTAATTTATATTTTTAAGAGAAATCAAAAGCCACCAGTGGAGGCTTCTCTCTATTTCTGTCATCAGACCATAATCCAATTATAAAGTTCCAAGTTCCAAGCTGTATTTTCATCCAAGTTTTCACCTACAAGAGAGATAAAAATGATGTGGAATAAAAGTTGCATTCATCTCTAATTAATACTTATGATATTAACAATAATTAATGGGTAACTTCAGAGCTGAAATGGGATTAGAAAAATACTGGGATCCAAAGCTTTTCAGCTCTCTTCCTCTCTTTCCTAGCCTACAATCTAAAATGGAGTTGTATGAGGAGCAGCAGAATGGCTAGGGAGGATGGGCAGTAAAATCTTTGCGTCTAAGCCCTCCTCAGATCCGATGAGGTCCTACAGGGAATGTCAGTGGTCTCTGACACAAAGCACTAATTTGATTTATAAAAATTTATTTTCTTCTCTTCATCTCCAGCTTCAGAACCCAATTTGAAGGTACGTTCAAGATTAAAACAGAAGGTGACAGAAAGGAGAAGCAGTCCTTTACTCAGGAGGAAGGATGGAAATGTAGTCAGTTCGTTCAAGAAGCGACTCTTTGAGGTGGCAGGTAATTAAGAATGCTCACAGAATAGTGGTGGTATTTTGGAACTGAAACTGTCTTTTAAACAAAAGGTTGCATCTTTTTTTTTTTTTTTTTCTGCTGCTGAAAAGAAAACCACATTAAATAAATGGTTGTGTATCAATAGCTTGTAATCTACAGCTTTCTACCACTTACTAAAAAGTCATTGTCAATTTGAAAGCCATACTTTCAAAGCAGCTTGGAAACCAGTACTTTACAACAGCAAGTAGAAGAACAAATAAATGGTAGACTGTTGGTGGCAAGGGACATCAAAGGAGAAAACAAGAATAGTCTCTTCCTTTAATTTGTGTCTTCTGTATATGGACAGCATTTTGGGTCTTGCATCTCCCACTTCCCATCTCCCATGGAAAATGCAGATGTTAGTAGCAGGCACAAGAACACCTATCTGGTATTAGGTCAATCAAGGACATTTTGGAATCTTGTGTTTGGCCCTGTCCCTCTGTTTTATCTTGTTTGAAAATGTCAAGATGAGTTGTTTTTGATGTAAGAGATCCCTAAGCTGTTTTTTGAGAAGAAAGAGTCAAAACGTTTAAATTTTCAGTGGCATATTGTTGGTCATAGCAGACAGCAAGAATTCCTAGTAATTGAAAGAGAAGTTTTAACATGTAAACATACAGAATTATGCGTGTAGGTGGGTATTAATAGGGGAAAAAAATGCAAAGTAAAAAATTATCATCAAGTAGAAGGTGTTTTCAATATTCTTCCTTCCCTTGAACTTAAAAAGTTACAGGGTGGATGAACCATGGATGCTAAGGCTTTCTTTCACATATTTGGTATTGCAGAGTGGTAAATTTTGTCACAGAAGTTATTTTTCAGAATTGCCTAAAGTCCTCTCATTTTTAGTCCTTATGATTAGTATGCTGCCAAGGCCTTATCTGCTGCTTTCAAGGAGCATTTACAGTACTTGGCCTCGTTCTGACATTTCTTGCTTTGACTTGGCATCAATATTTGGTAGCTTCATGGCTTTTTCAAGTGATGTTAGAATCAGGCCATATGTTTATGCAAACAACTGTTACTAGTCTGTCAGACATGTATCTGAATTCACTTCGTATGTCAGAATTGTGTCACAAAAAGATGGAAATATAACACAACATGAACAAATTCACATCAGTGCCCCCCTATGTGCAAGTCTCATGATAACTTTTCACAGTATGTCATGTATAAAACTAGGACATGAATGTGAATGTAAATATGAAAGTAACTAATGTTAATTTCCATATAAATTATTTTCAAGTTGGAATTTTTTACAGCTAATTTATTATTTCCATTTGCTGAAACTCTTGTGAGATTCTTGATCTCCACTTCCATAGTTTTAGCTGGTTTCTTTATATTTTGTACACTCACAAGGTATAAAGTGAAATACTTGTCCCAGGAGGTTTTTTTCTGCAACCATTGAAGGAGCAGAAGCTTGAAAATAAATGTGTCCTTTTCCTAGCTCTGACAATAATTTGGAGCCTTACAGATTGCCATTATTATTATTAATATTGTCTGTATGACATTTTGTAGCTTTCATAATCAAAACTTCCCTGATTAGACATTTCTGGATGAACCTTTTTTCTCCTTTTTTTTTTAAACTCTTTTAGCTGAAAATAGCCCTTTATTTAAATGCGTATTTATACAAAAAGCGGTATTGTAATTTTTAAAAAACTCAGAAAAAACAACAAGTTTATCTTTCTGCTCTTCTATGGAAACTAATGAGAATAAAATGCAAGAACTTTACCTGAGCAGTTATATAGCTGGGTACAGATTCACTTCACTAAATTGAAATCAGCTCTAGTAGGAAAGAGCAACAGGACCAAGAAACAGCTAGAAAATCTCCAGGTAGTTTCAGTCAAAGTGAGGATATATTTTTGTGTGTGAACTCAGGCAGAAGTGAAGAAGCAAAGAAGTGGGTATAGAATACTTATTGTTAGATTTAGGTATTAATTATTTTAACTAATTGAGTACTTTAATTTCAAAGCTATCCCATGTAATAGGCTTACCTCTACTAATGCTGTGTTCTTCTATCTTTCACCTTCTTAACTGTTTCCTTTACATAAATTTAACTTATATCAGTGTAGGATTAGAGTAACTGAATACAACACACAACAAGGGCATCCTCTTCCTCTTTATCTTAGGCAGAACTCGGGAAATTTTAAATCAAGATAACATCCAGCCTTTCAAATACTATTTTAAGATTTTTGTGTGCTGTAAATATTCTTTCATATTTGTGACAAAGATGTAGTAGAAGCGGTGTATATTTTGCCATTATTACTTATGTATGTAATGATTAGTCTACAACGGGCTCACCCCTTTCTAAACAGAAGGGGGATGGCAGCAGGCCTCATGAATTGATGACATGTTATCGTGACCTTTGCAACCCTGCTATCTCTGTCATTTTGATCTCTTACAGAGGCAAGACTTTTTGCAATTAAAAAGAAAATACTTTATTTTCTTTTTACTCATTACAAGTTCTGTGTCTGTATCTCTACCTGATACTGAGTATCATATCATCTTTGTGGAAAAAATAAATAGTAAATTCTTCCTTTGTGAAGCAGACAGATCAGAAGGCGAAAGTCCAAGAGTATCTTTCCTCATTAGCACTGTAAAAGGAAAACCAAAATAAATGGAGGATGAATTAAAAATCTTATACGCAAGAAATTAGCTCTTTCATAGCCGATAGATACTTTTCAACAACAAAAAAATCCTGTGCCATAAAGAGTGTACAATTAATTAAGAGCATGTTTTCCTTTCCAGGGTGAAATTCATGTCTGCTTAATTTGTTTTTCAGAATCCTCAGTCAGTAGCAGCTCCCCTGGATCAGGTCCCAGTTCCCCAAGCAATGGTCCAACCAGCAGTATAACAGAAAATGAAACCTCAGTTTTGCCATCTAACATTCAAGCTGAGGTAAGGCTCTTTCTCTTTATTGGGTAGATAATTGCTTAGATTCTAGACTGGAGAGGTCTGAAACTTCAGTTTGATGATACAAGCAGCGTAATTGCAGAAGATATAATTATCAAGGATACCAGGACACTGTAGCTTAACAACAGAGTATGTTATATATGAGATACATCTTCATATATGAGATGCCTGTTCAGGAGGCTGGAGGGTCTTTGATAACAAAAGCCCAAATAAAGGCAGCATTGATGCTACTGGAAGTGGGAGGGAGCTATGGAAGGAACTTGGAAGCATCTGCATTGCAGAACATTACCTGCTGGGATAACCTGAAGAGGTGCACAGTGCTGAATGCTGATGGAGAACTTTCACATGCAAAACAGTGATTTAGGCACTGGTAACCCTAACACTTATGAGTTAAGGTGGTCCCAGGTTCAGACAGCTGTGGAACTCAATTTTTTTAATTACAGTATTGTAGTTAGGTGATGAAATCCTTTTTCACATCTGCCTTTTATTTTACTGTATATTATTTTATTTTACTCAGTTTCTGTATCAGGGCAGTACCTACCAACATAACTGACCTGCCAAGAGTCTTATTTTGTAAAGCAATATTGTACATAGAAGGAATCGTAACTGCTCCTTTTTCTGTTTCACACGTACGTGCCTATAACAACAGGAATGCAGATGGTAAATCAGTTGTGATAAACCTCATTTAGCATAGACAACATGCCTAGGTCACGCTTTCCATGGCAATATTGTAAAGGAACAATAAATTAATGCAACTAAGAGAGAATCAAATTCCACAATATTCTGTATCCAGTCCTATTCTTACAGTGATTCCTGCTTTGGTGGCAAAGTTTTCTATTAATTGATGGTTTGTGCTATGTTAGAAAAATTGCACAAGAAAATGTGATTTAACAGAGTTTTAGCTAATGGAGCTATTTATCCAGGTCAGTGACAGGACATTCACCTCAAAAAAACCTAGAATGGGCAGTTCAACCTCCAGCAGTGACTCTTCCCCATAATGAATTAATTGTGTGTGTGAACTATGATCCAGGGGGCAGGTGGGTGACCTCTGCACACTGATTAGTAGCCTCTCTCTGCCCCATAACCAAAAAGAAACAAAAAAATTGCATTGATGGCTAACATGTGGTCTTGCCTCATAGCCCCCCTGTATGTGACTGCAAAGAAATTTAAATGATGCAGAGTAAGATCCATCGTTTGGATTAGATCAGGTCCTAATTCAGTGGAATTAAATGGTATGTTTTAATATTAGGAATGTTTTCGATAGCCATTGGTAATATGTGGGCGTTACTGCTGTATTAAACAGGAAACCTTGTCCAATTGGATCTTTTATTGACAATGAGGATACTACAAAACACAAAGAGAATAATGTCTCAGACTGATGGACGGTGCTTGTTACTTTGCATGTTATAGTTTCTGGACATTGCCCACAGTGTTGAACCACCATCAGATATCCATACAATCTGGTCAGGTGGGCAATTTTGAAAGGTTGTAGCAACAACCAGCAGAGTTATAGTCTGTTTATTAACAGAACACCACATTGCATATCATTTGCCATTACTGTGCCAGACCTCAGAAGTTATAGGCCCACCATACAATCACAGATGCTCAAATGAGTCTAAAAAGTTCCTTTACAAGTTGGGCTCTGTGCGCTGGAGTCGACCACTTAGCTTGCTGGAAATGTGCTGGGAAGCTGAAACTACTGACTCCCATTTCTGGATCCAGACAGGGATTTCTTTACCTCTCTGGTTACTTGACTGTTAATACTATGGTCCTGTGGGCTCAAACATTTTTTTCCATAAATCTCAGCTTCAGTGCATTTTGATTTCAGGGGGATTTTCTTTGGTAGTTTAACAGCAGCCAAACTGCTACATATCTCTTTTCTAGTTTAGCATTAGCTGCCAGGTCTCAAAGGCTATATATCTAATCAATTTTTCATCAGATAGACAAAGTGCAGAAGTTTCTAATAATAGGACGAGTGTTCCAGAATCACCCAAAATATCACTTGTTTTGCTGTAATCCCGCATGACTCACATTGCTGTTGTTTCATAATCGTTGTTGTGACATTTGCAGTAAGTGTTGTGCTCATATTTGAGTGGGTGGATAGCTGCGGTTTTCATGGCAGCAAATAAAACACTTTTTGCTGGGGGAAAATAGGTTGCTATGACAGAGAGCCATTTACCAGTAAAACATGAGTCAATACTGTAAATGATTGTACTCTAGTATATAGACAGAATTAGAGCATTATCAGTAATGAAACAGATTTTTAGAGTATTTTTGCCATATTCATTTGAATAGCGAGACTTTTAAGTGGTTTACCATCCAGAGCAGACAGTCTGGTGGGTAGACATTTACATTTTTTTGAAAAAGAGGTGCACTACAAATGCTACATTTTTGCAGATAAGCTTTTACTATCACAGTTCCCTTAATGGTGCCTTTAGTACCATTTGTTAAAACACTGGTCTCATTATATGAAACTTGAAAGTTAAACTCAGGATTTTAGTTGTACCTTATAAATAAAATGCTGTTTTTATTAGGCCCAGTTGTCTCCAGTATCATCAAGGTTCACCGCAGTAGCTATTTGTCTCTTCTAGCATGCTGTACACTTTCAGTTCACCTGCTGTGCTGGGGCTAAATGTTACTTGCATGAGAAATGCAAGCAGGATTGAGCGCCTGCACAGCATGTCCCTTGAGTTCAGAGGGACAACCTGCCTTAGTCATGTAAAATGATTAATATTAGGCATTCAGAGCCTGGTCAAAAGCCATTGAACTCAACGGAAAGTTTCCAATTGGTGTAAGCAGGCTTCAGAAATTTTCTTTCTCTTTCATTTGTGCTTTGCAGAGCAGCATTTCCTAGAATATTGCCTGATTATACAGGATGCATAAATGTCCTGCTTGGCAGATGTACACGTACGTGATTTGTGCAACCCCACAGCACTATGTTTCTAATACTCAGCTCCTTGAGGTGCTCTTTGCAAGTGGACAGTGGCAAAATGTGTAGGTTTCTGACCGGCTAGTGAGATTTGCTTCAAGGGTATGTGAAGAGAGTCTAATTAATCATCAAAAAACCCACGCCAAAAGCCTTTGAATATTCAAAACTTTGATAACCTTACTGTAGCTCCACAATTTAGAAGTATTAAAGCCAGACCATTTCCTCCTCTCCTCCTAATGTGGAAATGTGCATATAAATATGCACATATGAAATAGGCATCCCTGCTTCTCAGCAGGTCCCAGTACCAAAACAGAAGTACAATAACTAATCACAGTTGGTGATCATCATGCACTGTTACATTTAGTTATTGTGCTTTACTTTAAATAAGAGGGTACCTTTGTTGACAGGATATTTTAAGCATCAGGAAGCAGGATCCATGGACGCAGTGAATAAGTACGTAGAGAGGAGCAAGTAGGGCAGTTGCTATTTGGGGTAATTTAGGTGCCAATCCAAACCATCAGGTCTGCATGTAGGAGGAGGACCGTGGCTTCGCCATTGTTCTGCCAAATGACACTGCTGGGAACTCCAGTTTGTGCCACCATTTCAAGGTACTGTCTACTGTGGAAAAAGAGAAGCTGTAGCTGGCATCATGCAGTTGTGCCTCAGCATATGCAGGACCCTAATCTATGCAGGTAGGCTACTAAACACTGTGGGAGATGAGGTCTAATTGATGCTTAGGCTAATATTACCTGAAAATATTTTTTAAAAGTAGTTACCTCCTGAAATGAAAAATACTGATTATTATCAGTATTAAAAAATTGGATGGAAATGTTCTTACTAGTAAATTCCTGTTTTCAAAATTAAACTCTGATGGTACGTAACGTGATTGATTCTGCTTCACGAAACAGTCATGCCTGACCTTCATGTGGGAATGTGCTTTACTGCTATGCACTTTATCACTGTTATTTTTGTTGATTCAAATCTTAGAAGGTAATAGTGGCATACTGAAAATGAAAAAAGGAAATTTGTGTTCTTGAAGTGGCTCTGTATAGAAGCTGCAGTTGCTACAAATTTTATTATAGCCTAGGAAGCACATTAGAGCTGCCACAGTGTCCTTTTTCAGTTAAATCTTTGTAGTCTCCCTCAATAATATCTCCATAGTTTTGACATACTTGATTTTATTCATGGTCAAAGGTGGATGTTATCAGGGCAAGACACTGTTAACCAGGAATTAATGTAATACACAAGCGAAGCTTCGTTTCGTATGCTATCTGTTGACATTCCCTAGGTACCAAAAGAAAATTACAGAGATAGACTTCTACTGTTATTGTCTCAGTGATAGGTCATATCTCCAAACAAACTGTATCAGGAAGGTTATGTTTTGGAATAACATCCTGTGTTTTTGTGCTTAACCACTTTTCATTGATGATCTGAAGTTGCATTGTATTAGCACAAAGTATTTTACAGAGTTAATTGATATTCCAGGTTTATCCAGGGGAAAATCTACAGCTCCCCACAACATGCTTGACAAGTTATTATATTTACTTTAGTCAAAGCCCGAGTGTGCAGTATCCCTCTTGGAGGTGGTCTATTATTGAAGTCCCATATGCTTTTTGTTTGGGAAGAAAGCAGTCACTGTGTCATACTGTTACACAGGGTATTCTTTTTCAAGGATGTTGTTCCCTTGGGGACCATATCATGCCAGAGTTTCTAAGTCTAATAAGACCTTTGTAGCTCTTATTGTGTTAAAAGTTCTGTGAGGGAAGCAAGAGTTAAACAGAAAATGTAATTCAAGCAACTATACTAGACCACATGTTGAAAAACACGACTGTTAAAGCAGAAAGGCAAAGGCTTCAAAAAGATTCCTGTTGTGGTAATGTAACTTTTTATGTTTCTTCCCAATGAGTCTAGAGTGGAAAGGCAGAGGGTGATCTTTGTAGAATGTCTGGTTTTACTTGACAGTAATTAAAAATTTATCAGCTATTCCATGTATTTGAAAATTATGTCACAAGGCTTCAAAAGAAGTGTTAAAGATTTTAACTTGAAATGAATTAGGAAGGCTGTGAGGGGTATCCCACCACTGGAGAATGATACGATTCTGGTTTTGTATGTATGCAAAAGAGAGAGAGATACTACATTTTTTTAAATGTCGGATGTGGCAATATGCCTCACTTCCTACCCAAAATTCCCATGTCAATGGAAGTAAATAATGTGCCTGAAACATCCCCATATCACAATCTGGGTAAGAAAATACATGGACTAGGTAGAAACCACATTTCATAACTTACAACACAAATTACAATCATCACAGTAAAGTAAAGGTCTAATACATCCACATTCATGACACTTTTAATTCAGCTAGATACACTCCTTAATTCATTGGCTAAATTCCCACTGAGTTTCTAGCAGCAGAAGTGCAGTTGATGAGAAGAACTGATGTTGAGCTGATGAGAAGTTGATGAGAAGAGGAAGAGGTCTAGGAATCCTCAAGATTTTGGTTTTGCGTGGAAATTTGATTTACTAACCAACGAATAATCCCAGACATATATCCGTTGTTTTCTTAAGAAAATAAATAGCAACAGCTTTTTCACAGGGACAATACTTTTCCTTACCTGGAACCCCATTGGGATGCAAACCAGTGCATGATACATAACTGGATTTCAACATAGCAGGATGATGAGGATAAAATAACCAAGATAAAAATCTTGGAGATTATACCTCTGTTGTTTTTCCCCTTTATTCCAGCATCTGGTTTCACAGCAACGCCTTTTGATACAGGATGAATCAGTGAACTTGCTGAGTCTGTACACATCCCCTTCTCTGCCCAACATTACCTTGGGACTTCCGGCAGTACAACCTCAAATCAGTGTAAGTGAACAGTCTCAAGCCTTCCTGTCTACTTCTGCTTCTGGAAAACCTAGTTTCTGACTATTTATTTTGGAATGTAAGCAGTTCAGAGTAGGAAGCAGACCTTTCTTTGCATTGGGCAACATCTGAACATTTAAGGGCACAACTTGAAAGCAATAATCATTCTTAATGGCAAATAAGCAAGTGCCGGCGTGGAGCTTAGCTAAGTATGGGCCACATGCATTGCATTTATGTCTGCATATAAGATAACAGATCTCAGACATGGTGAGAAGTATATGGGGAGGACATTTAGTATAAAAGTTCAAATTATATGATCATGTCTACATGGTGAAGTACAGCACCTGTAACTTTTTATGAGATTCCAATAGCAACCTAAGCTGGGCTGGAGCACAGTAGGGGAAGAATCTAGTATTCCAGCACCTAGGTTTGTTCTTTGAGGGGTGAGCTATCAATCAGACTAATAAAATCGGTGATATGTGAACAACTCTATTTTAATTACAACTTATATTCCTATGCCCTTTGTTCAGTCTGCAGCAAACACCTTTATTTAGACCTAAATGTTAAATTAATATGTGAAAAGTGTGAAAATACAGACATAGTATGTAGGGAAGTCTATGCTGATGGATAAAGATCTTTAGATCTAGACCAAGTTACAGTAACCTAGAGGTGAAATCTGAGGCTCAGTAAAATATCTGAAAATTTTGCCACTGGTCAAAACTTACCTTTTCTGACTTTCATCAAAAAATGTAAAAATAATGATGTAAGTTATATTGTGGTTCTATACAACAGCATCAATTCTGAAGATATTTTATTAATTTAAATTTCTTAGAACATGAATTGGTAACTTCTATAAAAATACCATGGGGTGTAAAGGACAGCTTTGGTGTAAAAAAAAATGAAATCTGTACAGTCTACTATGGTTTGTAATAAGTGCTACTTATTTCCAGTGCTAGATCTAGTTTCAAGTCAAAGTCTCATGTTATTTGATGGCTTTTTCAGTACATTTACTGTTCTTACCAATAATAAATAATAATAATAAATAATAATAA